TGGGAATGGAATGATCGGCCTAAGGCTCTGTACAGAACGCGCATATTTATAGGCGCTGTACAGGTTACCTAATAAGGATACCTAGGAGTTTGGGCCTATGGCCTTTTTGGGCCTTATTCCTTTACTACCTATTTATTACACAATAATTAGATACCATATTTTGGATGTCCCACTAACTTTGACACTTTCCCTTTTTAGTAAAGAATATTTGGTTCACATTAATTCTCTCTCCTCTGTACAAACCTCAACCACACAGTGTTTACTTTATTATTCCTCGTGCTGGCCTGGTCAAACATGGCTAAGTTTTAAGGACTGATGGAGTATTAATTTTTTGGGGGGCCTTAAAAAACTATGGGCCATGTGTGAGTGGGGTGGGTTCACTTGGCCTGGGTCAGCCCTGTACCTAGGTAGCGGGCAATGGTTGGGGTAGAGGTTGAGGAGGAATTGGGGGAATGGCTTGGGAGGGTTAAGGCAGTTAGGGAGAGGGGTATGTGGTGGTGGGTACGAGGGATTGTGGCTAGTGATAGGGGTTGAAGGGAGAGTTGGCCATTGTAGGGATGTGATAGGGGTTGAAGGGAGGGCTGGCCATTGTAGGGATGTGATATAGAGGCACTAGTTAGGGCTTGTGGGCGGGGCTACGGTGGTGGAAGGGGAGGGGTTGGGGAGACTTGTCACTGTCACTAATGACAATGTGTCGCTATCGTTGGTGGGTAGGTTATTGTCACTAGCGGCGGCGGCGAGTAACTGTCATTATTGGATAGGTCACTGTGGATGGACCCCCGCCCCGTGATCCGCACGGGTCCAAACTTGTTGACTCGTGACCAGCCCCATGCGGGCGGGTCTGCCCTGCCCGGCTGCCCCGCTGTAACCTAATTACTTAATATGTATTTCTATTTGTGTGAAGTTGTTACTACTTGAATCTCATAAAGATTATCCCGAAATAACTATTACAAAATAATGTATTAAATCAATGTCAAAATACGCTAAAATTTTCACAAATTAAGAAAAAAGTATTTGGATTTGAAGAGTTAATCTATTTATATAAATTAAAATGCTATATATAAAAAATACATTGATAATTTTTCGTTCATCAATTTGTTTGTCTAAGCTGGAAGTAAAAATGCATTCTAAGTATATTTTTAGAAAGATAATAAAGTCGCTTAGGGTGCGATATTGCAAGCTTCTCTCTACGGTTTAGCCGCCACTAGAGGCGTTTCCGTTTTTTATTTCGATCGAAGAATGGTGCTCAGTGTCTCACAAGCTTCAGCAATCGAATTCCGTCAAGGTCCGTCGAGTGCTAGGCGGCTGTTGTTCAATCTCGGCCGATACAGACAAAGGGGGATGAACGAATCCGAAGGGGCTGTTTTTGATGGATGATATCGTCAATAACTATAAGAAGATGGCTATTGGTGAGGAAGACAACGAACTCAATTTTGATGAAGAGGAAGCCGGTGAGATTGATGAAACCAATGAAAGAATGGAGTTTTCGGTGGTCAGAGTGGTGCTCACGGACCGGAAAATCAAATTTCAGCTATTCAAAGAACTTTTGGCTTCAATCTAGCGCCTGGGGAAATGGATTTCCATCAAAGAAATTGGAGATAAAAGGTACCTTTTAACTTTCTATCATATATATTGTGGATATGAATCATGTGCTTGAGGATGATCCTTGGTTGTTTGAGAGAGATTTACTACTCTTATAAGCCGTTCATCCAGGTGATATACCTGAAAAGATGATTTTGTGTGAGACTGACTTCTGGGTACTTCTGTGTACCTTTTAAATTTAGGAATTTGGGTTCTGCTAAGAGAATTGGAAACTATATTGGCACATTTATTAGCTTTGATAAGAACCAGTTTGAGGAAAAATGAAAATCTAACCTGAGAATTAGGGTGCACATGGATATGAGAAAACCTTTGAAGAAGGGAAGTAGTGTAAAAAATAGGGAATTGGACACTGGGTAGATGTTTAAATATGAAAAACTACCTCTCTGCTTCTTATGTGGGGTCATTGGGCATTTTGATAAATTTTGCCATTTGAAATATGAGGATGGTATTGTGTTGGAGAAAATTTTTGGGGTTGAGCTCCGGGCTGGTGGAGGGAGAAAGACCAGTCCTACAGGGACCAATATATGATTAGTGGAGAATTCTTCAGACTCGGGGGGCCAGGGGCACAGAATAGACGTGAGTTCTAATCATAAACATGGAACAGGTTCCAGGGAAGGCAAAACGCGAGAGGATTTGGTAAGCCCGATCAAAAGAGGTTGCAGGTGGTGAGGGCATGTCACTAGATGAATCAAAAAATGGAGAGGCGGGGGTCAGGACTACTAGGCCCGCCGGTGGTGCACTTGTAGATTCTGCTCAAGAGGGCTAGCTTTGGTGTCTATGTTTTTGTGTTTTTGCATTTTAATTTCCACAATGAGATGGTTGTGTTTTGTTTTTACTTTATTTTATGTTGTAAAACTTTTGCACTAGGATTGAATGATAAAAGGTGTGTGGTAATCGTCATTGGCTTAATTATGCCCAAGTTAGAATGAGCGAGTTATATTGCTTTGTCAATGGTGATTAATTAACTCTGAGTCTGGTCCGAGGGCAGATAGTTACATGTGGTCCTTTTGTTATTTCAAACCCGGCCTATCTGATTGCTATTTCATCAATATAAGCCCCCTTCGATTAAAAAAAATTGTCGTTCATCTCATTCAAATATAAATATTACTCCGTAATATATTATAAGACCAAATAATTTATAATTTATTATATGCACACATAGTATATGTAGAAGTATGTTTGTAGTATAATTTAAAAAAAGTATGTATACTTATATATTGAGCGAGATGGGTCGGGGCGGGTTGGGGCGGCACAGGTCAATACTAATACCCGGATCCCGCCCCATTTGCAAGACGGGGCGGGGTGAACCCGCCCCAATTGTCTCGGGTCAGGGCGGGTCTTTATGGACCGATTTTTTTTTTACATGCCTAGTCCAAGTTCCCGTTTAGTAACATAGAATTTGGTTAAATAGGCTGATTCTGTTGAACTATATGAAATTCTAGCTGGAATGGCTGGATTGACTGATCTATGCAATATATGTGTATATATATATTATTAAAAATAAAGAAAAAATTATATGAAAAATGCTAAAATGATCGTCTTCAATAATTTCAGCCAATATGATAGAAAAGTAACTCTAAACTTACATTTTGTTATTATTACGCAATTCGACACACTAAATCAAAAGTTATGTGTTTGGTGAACTAATTGATTGATAGGTCTAATAGACTGATAAGTCGAAAAACAAGGTCGCCAATCGGGCTTCAAGAATTTTAATTTAATAATTAATAATATAGGTGACAAAACCCCATATAAAATATAATTAATGAGAGAATTCCCTAAATAAGAGTAAAAACGTTTTGAAATTCCAAAATAGAACTATCATGTTTTTTATTCTCTAAATAGGAGTAAATTTATGCGAAGTTTGGAATTACTAGGCTTTAAACATGATATTTTTTTCCAAACTTGACAGATTACTCCTATTCAGAGAATAAAAACATGATGGTCCTATTTAGAGAATTTGAAAACGTATTTCGGATATAAATAAAAGAAATTACCCAAAATGAGACTAAAACATGGATTAAACTCCAAAATAGGACTTTAAGTTTTTTATTCCCTAAATAGGACTCTAGATTACACTTTTGCCCTTCTCTAATTAAACCCCAATTTCTCCCTTCTCAATTCATCACTGCAATTCATCGATAGCTCTAACCCTTCTGCACTCGTCGCTGCATTCTCGCCATCGACTGGAATTCTTCGTAGCAGCTCCGCACATCTCTTCCTCTTGTGGACTGCATCTCCGCCATCGGCTATGGCGTCGCACCGCAGCTCCGCCATCAACCATAGGTATCCTCCTCCCCCTCCTTTCTTCTTCTTCTACTTCCTTTTCCTCTTTCTCTTCCTCTTCCTCTTCCTCTTCCTCTTCTAATCCTCTTCAAATTTTTGGTCCTCTGTTCTCTTCTTTAAATTTTTTGGATTTGAATTTTATTTATTAATTTGGACTTTTTGGATTTAAATTTTATTTATTCAGTAAAATGCCACTTTTATAATCTGAGAATGTCAAAATTATTGGTTATTTGAAAAAAAAAATGTCACGTTTGTGGCAGTTTATTTACTAGGATGACAATCTGAAAATGTCACTTTTGTTATGAAAATTTCATGAAAGTGACATTATTACTCTGGAAATGTCATTTTCTTCTTTGAAATTGTCACATTAGCAAATGTAATGTCATGAAAGTGACATTATTACAAATCAGTGTTCAATTAAAGATCAACTATGTCATTTTTCAGATTGAAGTGATTAGAACAATAATATGAATCTTTTAAAAATAAATTACTCAGGATTATAAAAACTTGGAAATCCAAAAGAAGAAGAAAATAGAAGACCTGTAGAAGAAGAAAACAAGGGAGCTTGAGAAGAAATTAAGAGATGAGCAGAAGAAAAAGATCGATGAAGAAGAAACTTACCTGGGGAGCCATTCATCCGTGCATCGCAACTCGCAAGCGACCTTCATCGCACCCAGCGAATCGTTGCAGCAGGAACTAAGAAGGCTATTTTTGTCCTAATACAAATCATTAGTCCTATTTAAGAAATTTAAAACAATATGTCCTGTTTTTGCAATTCTACCTTCTTTTAGTCCTATTTAGGTAATTCTCTCTATAAATAATGTACAAAGAGTAGTGAACGTATGAGAAAGATCAAAGTTATTCAAAACTAAACGTCGTTAAAGATTGAAATATAATTTTGGTTCACTCTACTTTCCATCTTCCACTGCATACATGAGGAAGAAAACAAACGAATGAACGTCAAACATGAATTATATATATATATATATATCCCTTCGATCGATCACATATATATATATATATATATATATATATATATATATATATATATATATATATATATATATATATATATATATATATATATATATATATATATATATACATATGTATGAATTCAAAAGAGCAATGCGGCGATGCCAGCAAGTCCTACAACAGCGGTGACCTTCGAAGCAGCGGCGGCACCGCTGTTGTCGTCATCTGCGCCGGGTGCCTCCGCTGGGGTGCTTGCGTCAGGAGCATCGGACGGGGCTTCGGCTGCGGGCGCCACGCTGTCAGGGGTCGGTGGTGATGAAGGCTCCTCCTCCGGCGACCCAGCAGCGGGAGTCTCGGGGGCGATCTCAGCTGACGATGGCGAGACTGCCTTCGTCGGCGGCGGCGTTTGTGAAGGAGATTCCGATGGGGTGGCTACATTGTTAGCCGGCGCCGCGGCGTCTGCTTTCTTGGGTGCGGCGGCGGTTGGCGGGGAGGATGCGGGGGCGCTGCTCGGGGAGGTGGCGGCGGCGGCGGCGGACCCAGCAATGGCGATGAGAAGGAGAGCAAAGGCAAGAACCTGACGAGGGGCGGCCATCTTCAATTTGTTTATTGATTTATTATCTAATAATTTATTGAATTGGTGGTGAGGATTCTTTGTGATTGCACAGGAAAGAGTGCAGAAGCAAAGAATGAATTGGATGGTGAAGGGCGGGGTGGGTTTTATAAGCAGAAGCGGGGAACGGCGACCGTCGAGCCTAAATCGGAATGCCAAGGTCAAAACTGGGTGCAAAGATTATGCACCACGAGAAATCAATTGATGATGCCTCACTTTGTACGGAATCAAGTTTTTCGTGATCATCCGTTTACTATTATTGTTCAAATCGCTGAAGAATATATATGAATGATGCATGTGTTTTTAAAATATTATTTAAATTAAAGGCATATACTCCGTCCCAAATTGTTTTGTAAATTCAACATTTTTTGAATAACCAGTAATAAAAGTCAATCATCTATATCGATAATTAATTCAATTTTTAACATATAAAATTTACATATTCATAAATTACACTAATATTTCTTCAAAGTTGAAAACAACAAATTATAACATAAATAAAAAATTGGGAGATTCTAATCAAGCGAATCAAATGAAATTGTTTGACCAACAAAAGTTAAATTTGCAAATCAATTTGGAACGGAAGTAGTAGTATATACTGAAGTATGATTGAGATATAGAGTGCTAATTGAGAGACTCGAGCTCGATTTCAACTTAGATCGAATCTATTTGACACGAAAACATCGAGTCGAATCGAGTCAAAACATACGAAGTATATAGTCTGATTCAATTGAGTTCGAGTTGTGTGCGAGTTTTACTTCTTTTTAAAAATATTTTTTTTTTAAATAAAAGGTATAATACGCTATATACATATACGTTTATATGTACAATCATTAATACTTCATCTCTCCCATATGGAGTTGCATGCAAAATTGAACTTTTTGGGCCAAACATATTTATTTTATTGACGTTATTAGGATTTTTAATATAGTTTTTGAATATTTAATTTAAATCATTAAAATTGAATTAACTATCAACGTTAAAATTTTTAAATTTCATATTAGTTGGCAAAAAATGTTGATTTTGAAAAATAATTTCAGACATAATTAGTAATTTTTTAAACATAAAAACACTATCCTGAAAGACTTCCACTTAGTCGCCTCGTACATTAGCGCTCTTGATGGATTCTATGATCCAATTTATATTATTAGGAGTGATTAAAGCTAATAAAGAAAGGATGACACCCCATCCTGAGGCCCCCCAACACCGCTCGGACGACACGATGAGAGGATGTAAATTAGACTATAATCATAATCTGACAGATAGAGAATGAGGTTCCGTCCCCGGTATTTGCAGAGGACCTATGCATTTTTAGCATAGTAACATCTCATTGCAATTGCCGAGATTCGAACCCGAGACCTAACTCTAGTGGCACTCTCTCGCTACCAGTTGAGCTACGCACACCGGTTGGAGTGATTAAAGCTAAGAAGTGGAAAAGATGGTGAATGTGTAGGGTACTGAATATTACCTAGGGCTATACAATCTTTCAAAGAGAGTATACATAGAGAAAGAGTGGCCAAGGCCTCTGATATGGGATAGATTTGCCCAACTATATGTAATAGCTAATAAATCATACTTCGTATAAAAGATAATCTACCATACACAATGAATAATAAAATGTACAATAACATATATGATGTGTGCAATGCACGCGCTGCCGCTATCCAGTCTCAATAGTCATGGGACTGAATCCAATTTCATATACTCTATCAGCTAGCTCTCTTTTGCCGCGTATGATTTATTCAAGACGAATTCTATGGTACCCTTAACACCATACCTTGTAGACATGAACCAATAAGAATATTGCATTTTTTTACCGTAATAAGAATATTGTAATTGGACAATTTAAATACAAATAAATGATGAAATAAATACCTGGATCAATTAAATACATGATAGGTACAATACTCTCTATATATAAAAATAAAAAATATACAAGAACAAACTTGTAAAAGGAAAATTTTGGGCAAAACATGGAAAGAACATAGCCTAAACAAATTAAAGATGAAAATTAAATGATTCTCTCAACAATTTGAACTCTTTGACTACTTCAATATCAATTTTTATAAAAGAATCAATAATATGAATTCTAGGTGGAGACCTAAGTTAGCCCCTAGCTGCGCCAATGTTCATAGAAAATGTAAAATATACAGAGTATATAAATAACACAACAAAATAGTGAGAGAATGTTTGAGCGGAAAATTTGAAATTTATTATTAGGATGTTTTTACTTGTACTGTAATTTGGTAGTCTGATCTGTTTAAATCTGGTCTGGTTTGATCTGTTTAAGTCTAGTCTGATCTGGTCTTAACCGATCAGGTTTGTTCTGGTCTAGTCTGAACCGGTCAGGTCTGTTCTGGTATGATAAATGTCGAGTCTCTGTGTATTTTATAAATACAGAAGTCTGGTCTGGTTTGATTTGTTTAAGTTTGGTTTGGTCTGTTTAAGTCTGGTATGACTTGATCTGGTTTGGTCTGATCTCTTTAAGTCTGCTGATCTGGAACTGAAAAATTAATGAGGTGATTTCAAAATGAAGAGTTTTATAATGCATTTTAACTCTTTAATTTAGTGTGAAATTATGTAACTTATCCTCTTATTTTTTAAAAAATTTACCTTGGTATTAGTAAAGTTTAAAAGATTTTCAATGTGGAGTCGTTAATATAAAGGTTACGTTTGGCAAACTAGTTCAAAAGATCAATTATTGAGCTATTTAGTACTCCGTAACTGTTAAACTTTATTGAGGGAAAAGATTTTAATAACTCTATTATAACTCGATTGTTTAATTGAGTTTTGTTTCATATGACACATTATTATAATTTTTTTGGCATAAATTTATCTTAATTAAATAATATGAGTATTAAAATTAAAAGTTCAAAACTGCTTGGTATACACATTTTGGTGTATATTTTTTGTACATTCGTCCGTTTCACGCATATAAAATTGTCTGTCCACAGACAATTCTATAGAGTTGTCTGTTGATAGAGAATTTTTTGTGCGTGAGACAGACGAATGTATAAAACGTGTACACCAAAATGTGTACACTCTTAAAAGTTTTACTCTAAAAAAGCTAGTATCAAAAGTTACAAATTTTATTTCGGAAGCTTTTAAAAGAATTTGGGAAAATTGTCAATTTGGTCCTCATACTTTCATAAAAAAGGCAATTAGGTCATCGTACTTTTAAAAAGATCAATCATGTCCCCGAACTTTGTAAAAACGTTTAATTTGAGTCTATTTGCAGGTTACTTTTCATCAACAAATGCCCGGTTGGGCTTCCAAATGTTTGCCACGTAAGCAAAATTCTTGCTGATTGGGCTGTCACATGTGCGCCACGTCAGCGGGTGACCTGCTGACATGACAAGTAACCTGCAAGTAGATTTAATTGAACGGTTTTACAAAGTTCAGAAACTCGATTAATCTTTTCAAAAGTATGAGGACATAAACCACATTTTCTGGAAAATACGAGAACCAGAACCAAATTGGGTGTTTTCCCAAAAACTTTCATTACGATGACTATTCATTACTACAACGTAGTGTTGTGATAACTTAAGTTCAAAATTTGAACATGAATTACTATGATTTCATTACTACTATAGTAACTAGTCATATTTTGGTAAACCATCTTTATTTTGATCATTTATGTAATTATTTCAAAAACTTTTACTAAGTACAATTTTGATGGAGCTGCAGATCTGTTTTGAGAATAGGAGGGGGAGGAGGGAGTGAGGGACGTTGGTGTAAGCTGGTAATGGATGCTGCATGAACGAACGATGAAGATGATTTCATGATTACTCACTCCATCCATCCATCCAAAGGCTACATTGCATTTTTAACGTCTCACATTCACCCGCTCTCCGCCGGCTTCTCCGCCCACGCCTCCCCAATTCTAAAGCCACGACCCCTCCTCCGCATTCGATTCATCGCCTGACTTTACAATCTTGATGACTCCCTCGTCGGCTTCTCGCCCATCTGGAATCAATGGCTTCGCCGCCGCTGCTCCGGACAACACGAAATCTAGAGTCACCGTTGTTGGTAGTGGTAACTGGGGCAGTGTTGCCGCTAAGCTCATTGCATCCAACGTCCTCAAGCTCCATTCTTTCCACGGTCTGCATTTTCTTAAATTTCTGCCTGTATATTGTTCGTTTACTTCACAAGCCCAAATTGCCTACTTTGGTTAACCCGTCTGATAATGAATGCCTATTGTTTTCTCGTGTTACAGAGCATGTTTTGGTATAGCAGAAAGAAATAGACTCTTTCAATTAGAGAGTATTTGTAGTGATTATTATTTGAATCAATTACAATCATAATCACTTTATTAACAGTTCTGCTGAAAAGTGATCTAATCTAAGCATAATCATTTTCATTTGAATGTAACATTAAGTTCAGCTTTCTTCATAGTCGAAAGAGAACCATTTTTTTTTTTCAGTTTGATCTCTTTCTATGTATCCTTTTAACCTCAATTTCATATGTTGATTCATGTTAGCCGACCTCAAACTCTTTTGGAACTAAGACATGGATGTTGCTATTGTTGTAGTAAAATAGAATAAAAAATTAAGGTGATGTTTTTCAAAACTCACAACTTTTTTATTTTATTTTCAAAACTTGGTGTCCCAAACATAGCCCATAACCATAGTGCATTACCAAATCAAATTTTGAATCTCGGATATTTTCGCTGTGATTTTTCATAGATGAAGTGAGGATGTGGGTATTTGAAGAAATACTGCCAACTGGTGAAAAACTCTCAGAGGTCATTAACAAAACCAGCGTATGCACCTCAGCCTGTTTTGTAGTTCGCTAACAGTACGTATTGATCACTCATTTTGCCTGCAATGTGGGTTCAACTCTGACAGCGGAGATTATTATTAATCCTAAATGCAGGAGAATGTTAAGTATCTAGCTGGCATTAAGCTTGGTAAGAATGTTATTGCGGATCCTGACCTTGAACATGCAGGTAAGAATACCAAGGTTTCTACTGCACTCCCATCTCACAATCAAATTCCAAAGAAGAAAAGACAAATTAGTGAACCTACTTTATGGCTGAAAAATAATAAAGTAGAAGCAATATGTTTTAGCCACAATGGGAACTTGACTGCAGAGCTGAAGGAGGAGTACCTTTCGTAGAGGAATCAATTTATTCAATAACTTTTTTTTATGTCCAGCCACTAGACCCTTGCCCAACCTATTTTCCTGTGAATGTTGACCCACCTAATTCTTCCTTATCTCCACCTCTTAGCATCCTACACCAAAATATATACTTCATCGTCATATAATTCAAGATATGTTGATTTGTTAATTGACATAATACCAATGTTAGATGGATTAACATGTCAATCTTGTGGGAGATGTTTAGGCATCTCACATATGAAAAGCCAACTGTTCGACCAAAATATAACTACATACATGAGTTTAGAAGGCATTAGATTAGTTTAGCATTTTTAGAGCACTAGTCATTAATCTATTATTAATATGTGCAAGATTAAGATTTTACATTATTTATGGGGAAACTGTGTTGCAGTGCAAGGAGCTAACATGCTAGTCTTTGTTACTCCTCATCAATTCATGGAGGATATATGCAAGAGATTAGTTGGGAAAATTAGGAAAGATGCTCAAGCGATTTCTCTAATTAAAGGAATGGAGGTAAGGGTGGAGGGTCCATACATGATCTCCACCCTCATCACTAAACAACTTGGAGTCAATTGCTGTGTCCTAATGGGGGCAAACATTGCTAATGAGGTTACTGAACTTCTGCGCTTAGCCTTTGTTTGTTTTAGGTCAAAATATGGGGGAGAAGAAAGAGGGGAAGTTGGCTATTTGGTTTTATGTGAGAAATAGAGAAGAAACAAAGGGAAAAGCATGTGGGAAACATTAAAATTTGCTTCTCCCCATTCATGACTACAAATGATGCGAAGTGGTATAATCTTTTCATCATCCCGAGTACATTTTTTTAGTTTTGATTAATCTATTTTAATGAGATAAAATTACTGGTTTATCACCTCTAAGCATTTGATTAATTTATGGTTCAAATATTTTGCTTATTAGTACTACCTCCTTCCCAGGCAAAGGTTCTCATCACTATTCTCCGGTCAACATAAATTCTTTTTAATCTTTCACTTTATATATTCAACTTTTAACAAATTTGAGTTTTTTATGACTTTATAAAATACTTAATGTAGTTTCTGAATATGTGAATCTTATTTACTAACAATAGTCTTATTACTGACATGGATCAATTAACTTTATGGTCAGTCAAACTAAACCACGTAAAAACCTTTTACCCTGGAGAGAGGGAGTATTAACTATTGATTTCAATGGGGAGATTTTTTTAAGATGGATGCCCTGCACTCTTTTTTTCACTCTCAAAATCTAACTGTTAGGATCAATTCGTATTTAAAAGTAGAATTATACTCGGTATTTGGTAAAACTTAATTTTTAAAAGATCTAACGGCTAAAACTAATACATGATTTGAATGAGTGAAAAATTGGGATTACTGAATTCATCAATGGGTGGAAACGATATAGGCCCACCAGTGATCAAGTCGAGAAAACCTCACTTATTGGATCTAATAAAAGGAAACCTTTAGGTGAAAAATTAGAATGAATCTCGGTTGTTTGATTCAACAATGTTACAATACCAGAGCTTCCCTCTGCATCTACGTATTGCACTAGCAATGACATTAATATAAATGCTTTTGGAATCTCGCATTGCAGTAGTCACAAAGGCAGTCTCCATTGAAAAACACCATATATGCACCTACATGGGAAGAGTGCTTCTTATGTGTGAAGGTGGATATATGGTACACTGCCTTTTGTGAGTAGTTTGACACGAGATTTTCTAAGGTATTTACAAAAGTGGTACCACTAGTGCAACATGGCAGTGTGCAGGGAAGCTCCGGTAGTACAATATCGTCGAATCCAATGAATGAGATTCATTTTCATTTCTCTCCTAAAAGCTTCGTTTTAGGGAAACCATGCATCATATATATATATATAAATTTCACCTTACTCAATTTTTTCTCTAATCTTACTCTAGTACAGCTTTCGTTCTTCTCACTTTCTCTGCTAAATCAAACAAGTCAATAGGGTCTGCAGACTAATGGTTTGTATAACAACTCAACCTGTAACATGTAGATTGCAGTGGAGATGTTCAGTGAAGCAACAGTAGGATACAGGGAAAACAAAGAGATTGCACATAAATGGGTTCAGTTATTCAATACACCTTATTTTATGATCTCAATTGTGAGTACTTACGGTATGTAAACAGTTTTTGAAAAACAAGCTGCGTTATACAAGGATCTTATCTTATCCCGGTTCTTTTATTTTTTGTTGGTGAACAATTCACCAGGTCGAAGATGTGGAAGGAGTAGAACTATGTGGTACCCTTAAAAATGTTGTGGCTTTAGCAGCAGGTTCATGCTCTCGTGTTGTTTCCTTTTAGTTTTCTTCAAAATTTTGATTTGCATGTTATGTGATTTATTCTTCATCCATTTCATTGCTGATGCTATAGGATTTGTTGATGGTCTCGAGATGGGAAACAACACAAAGGTAAAGGCCCCAAGGCAGGAATATAGTAAATTTCATAGGGTCCATTGGGAAACCAGAAAATGGTAGAGAAAGAACAAATGGAGAGGAAGATGGAGGAACTTCAGAGAGAGAGAAAATTATAACTTATTATATTTATATAAATTGTAAAAAGTTTTAAAACAAAATTGATTTTTCTTGTACTTTTTGAAGGTGATAACAAACATGAAAAAAACTATTTTCCTTGGCACTGCTTTACTTACCCAGCTATTTTCCGTGTTCCAAACTTAACTTTAATGTGTTAGGATGAAATGAAAAGAATCTTAAGCAACCTTAAGGCTTTAGGATCCCCACCAATCCAGCATATCAGAGATCTCAAAGTCAAAACTCAAATAATCTTAAGTGTTTGGTCCTTTTCAAATTTGATTAAATTTTCACTAGGCTGCGATAATTAGAATTGGCTTGAGAGAGATGAAGGCACTTTCCAAATCGCTATACCCCTCAGTTAAAGACAGCACATTTTTTGAGAGCTGTGGTGTAGCGGATGTGATTACAACTTGCTGTGAGTATAAACAAAAATTATTGATGCTGATTACTTTCTTGGCATGCAAGTATGGTACGTGACCAAGTCCCTTGTAATGCAGTAGGAGGACGAAACAGGAAGTGCGCGGAAGCTTTTGCAAAGAATGGGGGGAAGAGGTATGGATGTGTTTTATATACTGTGTTTCCACAACGAAGAAGGTTTGTACACTGATGGTTATTTATGAGCATTGGATAGGTCTTTTGATGAACTTGAAGCAGAGATGTTGCAGGGTCAAAAGCTTCAGGTATGCCACCTGCTGCTAGCTATAGAACACATTTGATTGTGAAAAAATTGTCATGCCAAGTGCCTAAACTCGGCTATTTTTGTTTCATTGGGTCCAAAAGGACCCCCCACCTATATTTAATCTAAGAGAAGTTCCAATGCAACAATGTGTGTGGTGTTAACGTGGCATGAGAGATATAGACACATGAAAATTGAAATATAATACATCTCTCCTTATTTGAATGATCATGTCAATCTTTGATAACTTTTCATCACAATATCAAGGGAAATGTCTAAATGTAAATATGTTTGACATTGTTAAAAAAATTAACTTAAAATGTGAAGAACGTGGAAAGAAAGAGAAATGTCATTAATTTAATTTTATGTGTCTATATCTTTGATGTCACATATGCACCGTGCACACTGTTGCATTGGAGATGCTCTAAGCTATTGAAAGAGATCCTTAAGGAAGGACTCTAACATGCCCATCGGTTCCCGCCTGAGGACCAACATCCTGGAACATGAAGTTTACTGATTCTAATACACATTCACCGGCCATCTAACATCTGATAACTTGGGATGCGATGCCATATTAGGTTCATTTTAACCAATACACACCAAAAGGTGTACCTCAAGGCGTGTAACATTTTTTCCTCCATCTGTGTTGTACTGTTGTTGTATTTAAGTTATTAAATAACCCTTAATGATCCCATGTGAGACTCTAGCGCGCAACTGATCTGGGGAAGACATAGACTCTAACACATACAATTGGGGTGGGGGGTGGGGGGGGTAGGGGAATGACATAGACTAGGGAACCTCTTTTCCTTTCTTTTTGCAAGGAGGTGGTTTGTAACCCGGGATCTTCACTGGAAAACACAAAGGGAGAAGCCAGTTTTGTTACGCCTGCCCTTCTTTACTGGAAAAAAGCAGTAATAAATAGAACATCCAAGTAAAATTTTGACGAGAATCATATATATCAATTACATAAGTTCTGTCAAAATAGCAGTGCTTGTGGATTTTTATGTTAGGACACTTCTTTCCTTTAACTCCCATATATTTGTTTGTAAATAATAAATTAAATATTCAAAATCCTAGTAAATGATGGTGAGACTCATCTATGTTTTGTAGGGTGTGTCAACAGCAAAAGAGGTCTACGAGTTTCTATCTACTCGGGGATGGCTGGAGGGCTTCCCTCTGTTTTCCACAGTACATGAGATCTGCACTGGCCGTCTTCCTCCATCGTCTGTAGTTAAACACATGGAGCACGTCCCCAAGATTCTTCCTCCTGGGAGGTTATGATTATTTTTTTGTGAAGTCCTAACGAGTTGATATATTTGTTACATTGAGTATCCATATCATTTCCCCCCTATGAATTATTGAAGTGAAAGTCTCCTTGTATATTAGCTTGGGATTGATGATTATAGGATGAAATAATGCTCTTATAAGCCTAGAGCAAATATATGCATCGCTCTTTCGTGATGCATATTTGTAGCTAACGTTAATTGTCTGCTTGCTGTATGATACTCTTTGAACAAGAACGGTTTAAGTTTTTTGTTCATTTGAATCAATTATTCATTTCAATTTCAACCGTTAGGGTATGTCAATCTAAGTATCTTTCGCTCTCATAGAAATGATCTCTTAGAAATAATCTTAAGGTTTAGATTTATTCATCTTGTTTAAAATGATCTTATGCTTCAATTTTTTCGATCATTAGAAATTTCATTTAATTAGTTTGTAGTCTTTAAGAGACAATTAGGTGAGTATTGAAAATTGGTGAAATGACTGAAATGGTTTAGATGAAAGTATTCAGTAATACTTTGATTGAATTAGCTGATGGAATGTGTATTTACTGAAATGCTATGTGATTATTTCATATAATAATCTTTTTACTCGAGTGAAAAAAATTTCGAAGTGTTGGCTCATTTTGACGACCAACTAATCTCACTGTTTTAAAAACACTGGAAGCACATGAAACTGGTATTATGAAAAGGCTAAAGGGTCAAATAGGTACATGAACTAACTTAAAGTGTTCAATTAGCCCCTTATATAAGAGGTTCTGCCCGGCCGTCGCCAATTGGGACGGTTCTCGGTGGAATTTTTTGATGAAATGTTTTGAGCATGTTCTTCATTAAGTCTAGTTTACCCATACCAAATTTCAGCTAAAAATTCAACCAAGAAGGCAGTCAAATGATTTTTTGAAGATAACTGCGCAGTTAAACAGCGTAGTAAATTTCAAAAAATCATTTGACTGTCTTCCTGATTAAATTTTTAGCTGAAATTTGATATGGGTAAACTAGACTTAATGAAGAAGATGCTCAAAAACTTTCAAAAAAAAATTCCACCGGAAACCGCCCCAATTGGCGATGGCCGGGCAGAACCTTCTATATAAGGGGCTAATTGAACACTTTAAGTTAGTTCACGTACTTATTTGACCCTTTAGCCTTATGAAAATTAATGAACAAAGAAACTCACAAATTGATGGTTCAAACTTCAAAGTTAAAATCCTTATTCATTAATTGAAAATAAGAACAAAAAACAATTAAAAAGTTGAAAATCATAAAAGTAAATCTATGCTCAAAGGGAGTATGCATATCCTGTGCAACGGCGGACACAAGATTTCTCGATAGGAGCGGTGGAATAAAAAAATGCATACAAATTCATTTATATTAAAATTTTCAAGGTAAATATACCTAGAAAAAAATTGGAGTGATGGCGGACCCTCAATTGCCTCCCTTTGGGTCCGCTGCTTATCTTACGTATATACCTTGTGGGGTCGGGGTCGTGAGTGAAAAGGACTGTGAGTCCGGCTGTGACTTTTGAACAAAACTAGGTGGCAATGCCATTGGAGCATGGAGGATTCTCTCAATCAAACAAAATTTTGAATCTAAGATCAGAGTCTGCCTCTCGTTTCGAACTCAAATGCACGGATGATTAGTGTATTGGTCTTTTACTATTTACTATAGAGTTTTCTAATTATAAAGTAGTGATGATGTGCAAAAATAAATTTGTATCTATATATAGTGGTGGCCCAGCCCCGGTCCGGTTCCGGTTCGGGCCTAGGCTTGGCCGGGCCTGGAAGGTTTAGGGTAAGGACCGGCCCGGTAGGCTACCGGTTCCGGGCCGGGCCGGTTCCGATTTTTTTTTTTTGGTGTTTTATTATTTATTTCAATCCCCCCCACCCCCACCCCCAAACCTCTCGGAATCACCCAACCCAGGCCACCTAAACCCAGCCCAAACCCAAAAAAAAAAAAAAAGTGGTCCGAATCGGTCGGGCCGGTTCGCTATTTTGCTGGCTCGGGACCGCCACCGGTATACTCTCTGGGTCGGGCCTAGGGGCGAATCTGGTCGGGCCGAATCGGTGTTCCGGGCCGGTCCCGCACAGTAGCGGGCTGGGCCAGTTCCCGGGCCGGTCGGACTGGACCGGGTCCATGACTATCTTTATAACTTTTTTCAAAAATTTGCATTTACGTGTTAGGTTCATTTATTTTCAGCTATAAAAACAATCTGATCCCTGAGACAAGATATTTTAAAAACATTTATGTTGAAACATTATATTTAGGCCCTTATATTTATGTACATGCTTGTTATATAAATTATACGAAGTACACATTATCACTCTTATACACTGTTTGGTATGCTTTCTGTTTTCAAAATTTAAGATTTTAATTTGATTTACAGCTATATATATATATTTTATACTACATATTTTATATTTTATATTTTGGTCAGGGTTACGTTGACTGGATCGATCAACCTTTGATCAGGTTGAACACTTGAACCTGAGGTTTGAATTGACCCATAATTTTATACAACATACTTCCTCTGCTCCACTATAATTTTTCTATTTTTTCCTTTCCATTCGTCCCACTAAATCTGTCTCATATTATATTTGATAATATTTGAGTAGCTCTTATTCATTCTTATTTTATTCTCACTTTATCAACTCATTATCAAACACATAATACTTAAAAAAACACACAACTTTCCTTTGTTCCAATCTTAGGAGTTAGGACGTAGGGGTGGAGGTAATAGGATTTTAGTCCCCATGCTGACATTCTCCCCTGGCTTTGCCTTGGCTCTATTAACGTTTGCCAACATTATTTATTTCTACAAAGACTCCATTTTTTCTTTTGTATTAATAAACTTATGGTTAATATTGCTTCTTTATTCCCTGAGTGGACTTAAATCGCATACTAGTTGATGTAGTAAATTATGATATATTCTGAGGTGTCAACATTCACCGATAAACGATTCCCAAATTCATTAAGTCATTTCCTACAAAGGTCGAGGTTGGGTTCAAAATTATTTCTCAGAACATTAGGATAAGTCCAAAACTGCATCTGATATGTAATAGTTAACTTTATTTTCATTATTGTGATATTGTAGATGCATTAATTTTAATATGTAATAATTAACTTATAGAGTTATAGAGAATTATTTATTTCTCAAGATCGAAATGAGAATATTTAAATAAGATGTCCAAATGAGAACCTATACCTTGGACACAAGGTTTTTCAGGAAATATATGTTTTATCATTTTGAAGTAAATAATTAAATTTAAGAATGTTTTAAGAATTTTGCTTAAGATACACCCTGATTTACATCCAGGGGTACACCCTGAGTTACATCTAGGGGTACACCCTATATAACCCCCCCAATTTTTTACTTCCATTCCCATTGTTTTATCTCTTCCTCCCCTCTTGCATCGTACGAACCTCCCCTCTATTTCTTCTTTCTTTATTTCTCCTTTGTCATTATCATCAATCTTCTTCTTTTTATTTCCTTCTATCTTTTTCTTTCTTTTTAGGGTTTTATTATTCACCGTCACCTTCCATCATCATCTTCATCACCATCTTCCATCACCATTTTCACTGGAAACTCACCGGAAAATTTGCCGAAAACTCATCGAAAAGTTAGACCCGTTTTAATTTTTGTTTGTATGGTGCTAAATGATTATAAGGATTGTCTGTAATGAAAAATGAAACTACAAAATTAGTAACATTCTATAAACTTTCACCATAGAAAAAATGTATGTACACAGTACACGGACACTGGTTTTATGTCAGTGTCTGTGTACAAAGACAAAAAATATTATAAAAAAGTCTTTAAATTGCACCGAAACAAATGTCTGCGTACAACACGTACAAAAAATTATATATGTGCATACACTTTTTGTCTACACATACAACTAATATCTGTGTACACTAATATTGGTTCCGTGCAACTACCTTGATAGATCTGGCAAAAGTTACATTAATCAACAAACCATTTTTTTACTCAAACAGACAATTTTGTCGAAAGTGTATCTTTTTGTACTTTTTTTTTGTATGAGTAACAAATAAAGGAGTGTAACTTAGGCCTTTGGGGGTATACACCAAGAATGATTGATATTTTAATTGGTGAGAAAATTCTAATCCATAGTTGAAGTAAAACCCAACCTGATACTCCGTATCTGATTTTGGGTGAGGCGGAAATACCGAAATATCCCATTAAAAACATCCAAGTAATAATTACTACTGTCCCCCTAAGTTTGGGACAAAAGAAGGTGACACGGTTATTAATAAAAGTGAGTTTATCTGATTGATATTAAATTGATAAAGTAAGAATAAAGTAAAAATGATTTATAACCACACAAATTTTACCAAATAAGGTATGAGACAATTTTAGTGGGACGGACCGAAAAGGTAAAATGGGACAATCATAGCACGGACGGAGTAGTAATTTTTAAAATAAGCTCCTAAGCTCCTCTATCCAGTCTCCATTCTTCTCTCATCACTCGTCTTCTGATTCTTCTTCTTTTATTGCCGTTTTTGGGTTTCTCTCTGCCGTTTGTTGGCTGCTTCTCCGCATAGGAAACAATTAATTGCAGGTTTTTTCTCCCTTTCAACCTTATCTTCAGTTCTAATTTTATACGATAATATATATTAAACTTAGGTTCTTTATATTTTTTCAACGTATATAGGTTCGTTATACGTCCGGAGTATATTGGATTCAAATGGATTATTGATTGTAATTTCAAGTAGGGCAACTGGTTTCTGTTTTTACTGCTATGATTAATTTTTGTGTTCGCTGGAATGGTCCCCTCTAAAGTTATTGTTATCTGATAACAACAACTAACAGCCCCGAGAGAATTTCATATTCATATGTTGCAGAAAGAATAGCTTGCAGCTAATGCCTTATGAACCTTTTTTATTGAAGCCCTGTTGTGCGTATTTATGGCAGGAATTGCTTTTAGCAGAGATACGGGCTCTAACAGTTTATCCTCCGTATTTCTTTCTATGAAATATGAAACAAACAGAAGATGTCGTTTTCCCAAAATTTAGCCAAAAACCGAAAAAAGTCAAACATAGGATCTCCAGAAAATGGGTTACTTTTTAGAAAACAATTTTCTTTCTTTCCAAACGAACCTAGCATGTACAAAAGGCATTCTTCTTTTATCCTACCGCATCACATGTACTTG